ATGTAATCCATCAGGCCCCGGCGATTTAAATGCATCAAAAAAATTCAACACTGGCCCATGGTGCCTCTGCCAGTGAAATTGAAGCTCAGGAGGGCTGCACATGGCCCTCGCGAGCTCCGTTTTCACTGGCAGAGGGTTGCAGGAGGCTGTTGCAGCCAAAAACGGAGCTCGGAAGCCTGTTTTCATTGGGAGAGCACTGGGGCCACCATAGATGCCCCCGACACAAGTGATGTCGAGCTGGCCATGCCCCCCCCCCCCAAGGACAAGCACTACCCTGATGTGGCCCTCAATGAAATCGAGTTTGACACCCCTGATATAGCTGAACACTCTGACTTTCAAGGACATTCCTCTTCAACAACGGCCTTGTAAAACCAAACCCCTCTCATTAAATAGAACAATCTCTTAAAATCCTATCAAATGTTCCTGCTTCTTCTCTAATTGCACTGCCCATTAGCTTTATATTTTCCCCATAATAAGTCAGCTGCTAAGTATTTGACTATTTGAGTTGTGCATACTCTATCATTGGAGATTGTTTTTTTTTAAAAAAGATAGGATAATTATTTATCCTAGATTGGACTCCTCCCTTGGGCAGAAGGTTGGACTAGAAGACCTTCAAGGACCCTTTCAACTCTGTTATTCTGTGGCTGACTATATAGTACTCGTCTCCAATATTAACCATATTTTTCATATTTGGGCACCTGGCATCTTGCCTGCATTTGCCTCTTATCAGAATGAATGGGGAAAGGTAAAGCAAGCAATAAAACCAACTGCCAGTGCCTTTTATCTCTTAACCGCCAAGTCAGGAAATCGCAGTTAATCTTTTGCTTGCATTTCTTTACGGAGCAATACCATTTCATTTGAGTGGGAGCAATCATTTTCATTCTCCCTGAATGCCATGCAAAGCCAGGCTAGTGGTATCTTCCATGTGTCCACCTTGAGGCTGCACTAAACTGAAGACGCTCAGAGTAGCTGCAGGAAAGGTCAAAAAGGGCAAGGCACAGTCATCGTGCTGATTTTCTTTCATTACAGGTTTCAGACACCCCTGGAAGACTGCAAGCTTTTCAGGACCTCTTCGATCTTCATGCTAAACAATCTGAGGACCCGCTAGGAATTCTTACTAGATTTGCAATGAACAGGCTGCGAAGTTCTTCATTTAAGTGAAATGTATGACAACGGTGCCCTGACTGCTCCTTGTGAAAAAGCTTGTGGATAGTAGATGGCTGCAGTGTGAAAGAGGAGAGGCAGTCTGGCAAATGTTTGTAACGTTCTGTACCCATGCTCTGACTTGTTCAGCATTGTTGACAGAGAAATCAGTGCATAAAAACAGATGCATGAAGACTAAAAGAAATGTAAGATTGGAACAAATGTAAGATTGGAAGAATGGGTCTAGAATTATTCTGATCCTCCAAAATAAAAGATAAGCCTCCAAACTAACTCCTGGCAAGGGAAGAGCATCTGGGAATATTTTGGAAACTTCTGGTGAAAAATTTGAAATACAAAGTAGGAAATTCCCCCATTCCCCAGGAGTAGCTGGTAGCAGGAGAAAAGCGGGAACCGTCTGGGGTGGAGCTTCTTTCATCAGCCTAGCGTTGGTATATTTCTGTAAAGGTTCTAAGTCCAACTCCTCTTGGCACAAATTTGTAGGCGCCAATTTCATTACTTGACTAGGTTCTTTTGTATAAGAAGGCTTGAGCTGCCATTCTGATCTGCAACCTAACTCCTGGTCCTTATTCTTTGCGTCTGAGAGCTTGACAATTGTTATGGAGCAATAGTAGCTGACTTGGAAGAAAGGCAAGCTGTCTAAACAGAGGCTTAATGAAAGACACCAATGACAAGGAATTGACCCTTCCTAGTGTGAATGTTCTTGGGCGTGTGGCAGAAGTGATCTTGTGGAGGTATTGTGGGGACTCAGAAGGACTGTAAAAAGGATCCTCAAAGCAAGGTAAGGAGGGATTTGGGCTCTTATCATTCTGAGCCTCTCAATCTAGGATTCTTTGTTTCTCATGGTTCAGGAGTGGGGGTGTATTAGTATTTGATTATAAATCTTTCATAAAATACATAAGCAAAACTTACTAACTCTATTAGGGATATTTAACTCTACTAGCTAAAGGATATTATACATTTATACATTTTATATGTAGCCCATTGCTCTTTAATTTTCTCATTTTTCTCTTTATGAGGATCTAATGTACTCTACAATATTCTTGGTCTTTTCTTCCTTTGAACTCATTCACTCTTACTTCACGCAATTTGCAATTGATTTGATTTGATTTGTCAATCGCTTACAAGATAATAGGTATAAGTATATACATAGTTATGAATACATGAAATGGGTACATATAAGAAAAATAAAAGAAACAATAGGACAGGGACGGTAGGCACGTTGGTGCGCTTATGCACGTCCCCTACAGACCTCTTAGGAAAGGGGTGAGGTCAACAGTAGACAGTCTAAGGTTAAAGTTTTGGGGGTTTGGGGAAGAAACCACAGAGTCAGGTAGAGTATTCCAGACATTGACCACTCTGTTACTGAAGTCGTATTTCCTGCAGTCAAGTTTGGTGCAATTAACCTTGAGTTTGTATCTATTGTGTGCTCTTGTGTTGTTATGGTTGAAGCTGAAGTATGCATTGACAGGTAAGTCATTGCAATGTATGATTTTATATACCATACTTAGATCAGACCGAAAACGGCATAATTCAAGGTTTTCTAGGTCTAGAATTTCAAGTCTGGTGGCATAAGGTATTCTACAACGAGTAGAGGAGTGGAGAACTCTTCTTGTGAAATATTTCTGGACTTTCTCAACTGTGCTAATATCAGATACGTAATGTGGCTTCCAGACTGACGAGCTGTATTCGAGTATTGGTCTAGCAATTGTTTGGTTTATGTGTTTTTGTGGATTGGGTTGTGGATTGGGTTGTGGTTGTTGGGTAGAGATGTGGTTTGTAGCTATTGGATGTTCAGGTTTTTGCGTTGTGTCTTTTTTTTCAAGGTTGGATAATCTTTCTTTTAAGGCGTCCAGGGATGTTACTATGGTGTCAAGGGAAGTTATTCGTGTTTCTATGGTATCAACTCTATCAAACAGATCCAGTTTGGGTCTGCATGATTTGCAGAGATATGGAAACTCATTGGATGATTCTAGGTATTGAATCATTTGCTTGGGTAATCCCAAGCAGTCATGATGAGCGTATTTGTTACATAGAGAACATTTGATGGAGTTTTCATTATCCTTTAGAATTTTGTAGCATTTAAGGCATGTGCAGGAGTCTTGTGGTTCATTGGTAGGGATTACTTTCTCTTTAGGTTGTGGTTTGGCATTGGATTTCATACATTGCAATGAATCAATAAATTGCAATGAATCAATGAATACTTCAGCTTCAACCATAACAACACAAGAGCACACAATAGATACAAACTCAAGGTTAATCGCACCGAACTTGATTGCAGGAAATACGACTTCAGCAACAGAGTGGTCAATGTCTGGAATACTCTACCTCAGGGGTCCCCAACCACCGGGCCGCGGACCGGTACCGGTCCATGGAACATTTTCTACCGGGCCGCCGGTTTGCTGGGCGCCGCCATCTTGTTTTGATGAGAAAGTGCTTCCGGTGAGCTTTTCCGGTTGGAAAGCGGTGTTTGGGTCCTGAAGGAATCCTTGCGCCTTAGTTTCATCGAAGGTGCGGGGGGGCAGCTTCGAACAAAACTAAGGTGCGAGGATTCGTTCAGCACCCAAGGCAAGGCGAGCCGAGCGACCGTCCCGAAGCCCATCGACAAAGGTACAAAGGAGGAGTTGAAGGTGGCGGGGAGAAGCGGGGGACAGCTGGCTGGCCGGTCGCTCGGCTCGCCTTGCCATGCGTGCTGATGCCGGTACCGGGCCGCGGATCTTTTTGTGATGCTGGTACCGGGCCGTGGCACAAAAAAGGTTGGGGGCCACTGCTCTACCTGACTCTGTGGTTTCTTCCCCAAACCTCAAAAACTGTAACCTTAAAACTATCCACTATTGACCTCACCCCTTTCCTAAGAGGTCTTTAGGGGGCGTGTATAAGCACACCAACGTGCCTACCGTCCCTGTCCTATTGTTTCTTTTATTTTTCTTTTATTTTTCTTATATGTACCCATTTCATGTATTCATAACTATGTATACACTTATACTTATTATCTTGTAAACAATTGACAAATCAAATAAATAAATAAATAAATTCTCAGAGCATTGTGGGTTCTGTTAATATTTTAAGGGAAGGTGGAAACAGTATCAATAATAAAATATATTTGGAAAGAAATCTTCTCACAACTTCCATACACAAACACCCTCCTCCTCCTCCTCCTCCATACACACCCTCAGCTATTTCACAGCACAATTTTTATAGTCAATTTTGCTGTGCCAGCTGGAGAGAGGGCTTAAAGAGATGAGATGAAAGCTGGGAATTTCCTGGGCTACCTGCTGTTTCATACATTGAATATTTAGTCTCATAACTTCTGGTCTTTCCAGTTAGTAACTCAAATGGGGGACAGAACATTGAAGAAGCATAGTTTAAGGAAATATATTCTCTACAATAATATGTCAGTGATATTTTATACAACAATGAGTAATACCAATTTCTTTTCTTTCCATGCAGCCTGAATAAATATTTTTCTTTTTGTAACAAACACAATTATGCCTTGGAAGATGCAAGGAGAAATTAAAGGTGAGGCATTCAGATTTTTCTTCCACCTAGCTGAAAAGTAAAGAAAGCAGGACAAAATTAGAGAAAAACTTAACAAATCCTTTGATTAAAATCACTGGTTTCTCTTCTAAGCAGAGGCATCACAATAAGTAAGGCGGGCATAAATTGAAATAGCAAACTTGGGTGGGCAAAAGTTTTGATCTGCAAAATTTGGAGATGACTGGACTCAAGCTAGAATTAAGGAGAAGTGAGAGGTAGGATTATTTTCTTCAGTCATCCTTGGTTGTCAAGGTAAGAGTTGTACTGGAACCAAATATTTTAAATCTGATGAACCAGGAAGAGCATCTGAGAGGACTCTTCCAGATTATCTTCTAAGCTTTAAGAGGCTCATTGAGTAAATCAAGAAACTTTCACACTTGGGATTCTGTGTGGAGTGTCAGTTTCAGACAGAATTCAGCAACATATATGTATCTGCTTATGCAAAAACAAGGAGATCTTCCAAAGTGCACAAAGAAAACAGTGGAAATATCCCAGATGTAGGGCAATTTTGTCATATTGGGCACCATCCCACACTCATGACATTTTTGGCAGTCATCTTGAGTTCTGCCTGTGAACATTCAGCAGTGAAAGACTTGGGGATCTTGTGAGGTTTCAGCTACTTAAAATATGTGTTCAAATCGTTTTGACCGGGAACGCCACAGAGCCCTACTTGGATATTGGGGGGCAGCATCTTCCTAGAAACAAAACTGAACCACACAACTCTGTGTATTGGTTTCTGTCTTTCATATTGGTAGATGATGATTCTGGATGTGGTGATCGTTTGACTCCTGAGGTGACAAGTGCATCTTCTTCCGGAAACTCTGATGCAATGTGTATAAGAAATGCTGTTAAAAACAGACACTTACCCGGGACTCTTCGTAATCTTGGAGGGGGAAGAAATGAAACAAAATGAAAGGAATTTGAGGATATTTTTGTTTTTTAAATGGAAAACCTCACACAAAACCAACTTTAGGCCAACACTGCACCTTTGGTGAATTTCCCATGTCACCTTCAGGACAGAAAGCCTGCCACTGACTTTTGGCAGTTGGAGTTATGGAGGGAAGTCCAGATCATCCATCCAAGGGGGAAGGAATTGATGTTGATGCCTTTGTCTCAACCAGGGGGCCCTGGTAGGGTTATTGGGGCAGTGTCTTCCTAATAAGAAAAGTGGATCATGTCTGTTTGTATTGTTTTCTGCCTTCCTTTTATGGTCAGGAGAGTCTGGATATTGTGGCCCGTTGACTTCTGTGGTGACAACTGAAGCTTCTAGAAGATCTGATACAATAAGTGCTGGCAAAAACAGACACCTACCTGGGACCCTTTGTAAGCTTTCTGTGTGGGGTGTTTGTGTGTGGGTGTGATAAGACAAAGTGAATGAAGCTGTGCTAAACCTACTGGATGTAAAAACCAGGATTCGTTTTTTTTCTGATTTTGATGAAACAAAGTTGAGGCTGTTTCTCTTTTTGAAAAAACAAAACCCTCTCATAAAGCCAATTTAAGGTCAACATTGAAGCTTTGGTATGATTCCCATGTCACCTTGGTGTCTCCCATTTTCAAGGCAATATTATATTTCAGTATTATAGCTATATTTGTGCTATTAAAATTTTGGACTTGGACGCGACACACTCACAAGTGTTGCCAGCTGTTTCTTCTGGCGGGACTGTTAGACATTTAAGAGCATTGAGATTGAGTTTACGTCTCCCACAAATGCAAAAAGGATCTAGGCCCGTGATGGCGAACCTATGGCATGCAGAGCCTTTGTGTGGGCACGAGAGCCCCAGCCAAACTTAGCTGCGCTGCGCATGTGTGTGCTTCCCAGCTGATTTTTGGCCTCCCAAAGGCTCAAGGGAAGCCTCTGCAGCCTTTGGAGGTCAAAAACAGGCATGTTTTGGCACATTTCAGTGCCGAAATGGGCCCGTTTTTTGCCTCCAAAGGCTGCAGAGGCTTCCCTTGAGCCTTTGAGAGGGTGAAAATGGGCTCCCTTGGGCTCCTGAGGCCCTCCGAACACTGAAAACAGGCCTGTTTTGGCATTTTCAGTATTTCAGTGCCGAAACGGGACTGTTTTTCGGCCTCCTGAGACTGCAGAGGCTTCCTTCGAGAGCCTCTTGGGAGGCCAAAATGCCTCAAACGGGCCAAAAATCAGCTGAGAGGCGTGCGCATGTGCAGTGCAGGTAAGGGGCGGGGGGTGTTGCGTGCGCATGCGCAGGGGGACAGGGCGCATTGCATTTTGGGTGCCGGCACACGCGCTTTCGGCACACCACAACAAAAAGGTTTGCCATCACTGATGTAGGCTATTAGCCACTCCACATCTATTTGATTTGTTCTGTGGGGAAAGAAACCTGAAGGCCACACAGAGAAAGACACCAGGGCTGGGCTTCTGTCCTCCTTGGAGGCACTCTTGACTGCCTTCTTCTGTTGTTCCTTGTGGAAGGAAGGGGAGGGAGATGAGAGAGTTCAGGTTTATCTTGGGTGGGATCAACAGGTGCAAGTTGAACCACAAACATGAACTGTCAACAAATGTGAAGTCATCTGCCTTCTCCAAAAAAACCCTCTCCAGATGTTTTGGGATTCCTCTCCTAATTCCACTGCCTTGTAGATTTGCATGCCAGCTGGAGCATACAAAGCTGGAAGGACTAGGTAGTTCTAAGATACAGAACACAAAAACATCATACAAATTATAGCCGGTCATTTGGGGTAAATGTACAGTCTCTTGCCATAAAGGGCAAACGCTGGCATTAGTAGTGGATGATTATTTTCCTGTTCTGCCTGCCTGACTGCCTGCCTGCCTGCCTGCCTGCCTGACTGGTTTAGTATGGTATTGTGTGACTACAATCCTAAGCAATCACAATAAAATTATGAACCTCATCTCTTAATATTTTCCTGTTTTCTATTTTGCAGCTCTTCTATATAAGTGCATTGCAGACAACAAATTCATTATAGCAGTTGTTGTAATCACATCTTTGATCATTGCTATAATTTTATTGGCTGGTAAGTAACGAGGCATTCCTATTTCAAGATTTTGGAAGTACTTCGCTCTCGCCTCTTTTCTGGGCCAGAGGGAGAGGGACGGCCCAAGGACAGCTGATTTTCATGGCTAAGGCAGGACTTGAACTTATAGTTTTAGACTTTGTATCTAAGACAAGACTAGAGCTCACAGTCTTCTGGTTTCTAGCTTGATGCCTTAACCACCACACTAAGCATGGTCTTTTCCTGCAATAGCTAGTCTACTTTTATGTTTCTCCTAACAAACTCAACTCTCACTTCCATATTTCATTATTTAATTCATTTAGTGCTTCCCAAACATGGGTAAATTACCCAAAATTAAGTAAAAGTGGGTAAAGACACACAAATTCCTTACCGAACCCCAACAAAGACATTTATATTGACTTGAAGCGTTTTACCTACCTTGGGTAAAAAAGACTTTCTGATAAGCAGTTTGACGTAATGAAGGGGAAAAATTGGGAAGCAATGATTTAAACATTTTACTTCCATCATGATCAACTCTTACTACATTCAGGAACCATCTTACATATTCATGTAAAATACTCTATACTTTATTATACATTTTCTCTATATGGACAAATGCACAGTGAACTTGCTTTTACATATTCATATTTATGTAAATGACTTACTGAAGAGTGAAATCTGTTTTTCCCCCCCTGTACAGCATAAATCCACAATAAACTTCTCAAATTGATTGTATTAGCACCTTTCGTATCACTTTAATTAGAAATCTGCCAGTTACTTTCTCAGACTCTTAACAAACTAACTCCCTGATAGACTCTGCACTCAACACTTGTCTCCATAATACACTTTATCATACATTTTCTTTTTTTGAGAAATGTGCAATGAACTTGCTTTTACATGTTCAGGATACAAATCTAAAATTATATTATAAAATTATATGCATATTTGCGTATATGGGTAGTGCTCAGTTAGTTAGATTTTTTCACTTTGCAACAGTGTTGTAGCAATGCAATTGCCAGTTGTTTTTTATTTATTTATTTTATTTATTTGATTTGATTTGTCAATTGCTTACAAGATAATAGGTATAAGTATAAACATGAGTAAGAACACAGGAAATAGGTACGAATAAATGGGGACAATAGGACAGGGATGGGAGGCACTATGGTGCACTTATGCACGCCCCTTACAGACCTCTTAGGAATGGGGTGAGGTCAATAGTGGATAGTTTGAGGTTAAAGGAGTAGGGGTTTGAGTATGTAACAACAGAGTCAGGTAGTGCATTCCAGGCATTGACTACTCTGTTGCAGAAGTCGTATTTTCTGCAATCAAGTTTGGAGCGGTTAACATTGAGTTTGTATCTGTTGTGTGCTCTTGTATTGTTGCGGTTGAAGCTGAAGTAGTCATTGACTGGTAGGACATTGTAGCAAATAATTTTGTGTACTACGCTTAAGTCCAACCATAGGCGGTGTAGTTCAAGATTGTCCAAGCCCAAAATTTCGCATCTGGTGGTATAGGGTATTCTGTTGTGAGCAGAGGAGTGTAGTACTCTTCTCGTGAAATACTTCTGGACTCACTCAATTGTATTAATGTCCGATATATAGTGCAGATTTCAGACAGATGAGCTGTATTCGAGTATTGGCCTAGCAAAGGTTTTGAGTGCCCTAGTTAGCAATTCAATATTTCCAGAGGAGAAGCTTCATAAGATTAGATTTACAACTCTTAATGCCTTTTTGGCAATGCTGTTACAGTGAGCTCTAGCATTTAGATCATTAGATGTTATGTCTCACCTGTATCCACAGGTGAGAATCCAAAGTTCCAGAGTTCAAATATTCAAGCAAAACAAAACAAGACCCAAAAGAGTTAACTGCTCTGTTTTCACAGTCCTTGGCAGTCTTCCTGGAATCTGTCTGGCAAATCTAAATTGTCCATAAATCACGATGGCCACTTCAAACGTATTCTTCCCAATCCAAAAAACACTTTGCTCCAAGCAAAGATTGAGAGTCAGCACGCCTCCTTAAATCCCCTGGATGGGCGTGTCAGTCTCTCTAATTAATGCCTGGCTTGACGTCTCCTTTCAGATTGAGATTGACGTTTCAATCTCTTCTAGTCCTAGCATCAAGCCAACATCCGTCAGTCTCTTCCTCACTCGAAGGCTCTGGCTCAATCTGCTGGCATGAACGAAGTAGAAGGTTCTGGAGAGGACTGTCTCTCCAACACTCTCTCATCCTCCTGGCTCACATCTGTGTCCTCTGATAACTCAGACTCCACATTCACAGCAGGCTCAAACCTTCCATCTTCAGAGGCATCAGAATCAAAACTCCCAGCAGGGTCAATCCTTCCAGTCACAACACATAGATATGAGTACTCTCAGATCCTTGACAGAGTGAGGATCATCAACGAGGACATATCCGCCTAGCTTGTATTTGGTGAACTGATTTTTTTTACCAATGTGTAGGACAGAGCATTTGTTGGTTGAGATTTGGAGTTGCCAATTGTTTGACCATTCAGACACATAATCAAGGTCACTTTGAAGAGCAGTAGCATTGTCAGTGGTATTGAATAGTTTTACATCATCCACAAAGAGGATGCAGTTGCTTATAAGGTGATTTATATAGAGTATAAAGAGTGTGGGTCCTAAAATGCTGCCTTGGGGGACACCACTGTTGACTAGAGCAGGGTTTGATATAGCGCTCCCTAGTTTTACTATTTGTTGCCTCTGACAGGAATGCAGTAATCCACTTATGAAGGGATCCAGAAATGACATAAGAGTTTAGTTTTAACAGTAGTTTGTCATGTACCACTGAATCAAAGGCTTTGCAGAAGTCTATGTAAATTGCATCTATTGCTTTTCCCTGGTCGAGTAGAGTAGTGTTTTTGCAGTGTAGGAGTTGTAGGTTGCAGGAAAAAAATTTCCTAAAACCAAATTGTTTTGGGGAGAGTAGGTTGTTTGACTCTAAGTGGAAGGTGATGAATTGGTTAATGATTGATTCCATGACTTTGCACGTGACACAACACAGTGAGATTGGTCTGTAGTTTTCAACCAGGCTGGGGTCACCTTTTTTTGAAGATAGGGATGACCGTAGCAAGGACCATAGGTTCGGTAAAGAGCTGGTTTTAAATGATATATCATATATAATGCTTAGGGGTTCTGCTATGGCAGAGGAGAGCTTTTTTAAGAAGTATGCACATAATCCATTGGGGCCAATAGATAGGGATGGTTTTCGGTTTCGTAGTGCCTTTTCTACATTAACTTCTGTAAAGTCAATATGTAGTAGATCATTACAGTTAGTTGTGGTACGACTAGGAAATGTGGGGCATGAGCCATTGCTGTTTACAAAGACTGAACTGAAGAATGTGTTGAAGAGGTTGGCCTTAGCAGCTTCGTCGCTGCAGTCTTTCCCATTTGGTCCCTTTAGAGGTGGGTTGGTTCTTGAGTCTTTAAGATTGGAGTTTACAAAATTGTAGAAGGTGTGGGTAGATTTTGTATGTAGGAGGTTTTCCTCCTGCTTGCAGTCATAATTTGTGCATTCTGCCTTTATCTGTCGGCATAAGGTGTTGTATCAGTTTTTAAAGTTTGCTATGTAGCTAGTTTTGTTTTGTTTTTACGCCATAGTTATTTTTTTTTATTGAAGTTTCCTTATTATTATGGGTAATTTGTTTTTTTGTTTTTGTTTTTAGGGGTTACTAATGGTACATATAGTTTAATAACTCTTTCAAGTTCAAGTAAGAATGCATTATAATGGTCTTCTATAGTATTACAGTTAGAGAACAGAAAGTGCCAATCAAGAGATGATAGGTCGGCATCTATGAGATCATAGTTGGCATTTTTGAAATTGTATTTTAGAGATCCATCATTATGATCTTCTTTGTGAGGGCATAAATTGAGACAAAAGTCAATCATACTGTGGTTGCTGTTTGAAAAGGGTTCTTGTATTTGTAGGCCATAAATTGAGTTTGAACTGTTGCAGAAGATGAGGTTGAGGCAGTTGTTGAGTCTAGTGTTGTTAGTTACTAATTGATCTAGTCCCAGTGTAGTAGCGGCATTATAGAGGGTTGCATGTATGGGTTCGGATGTACATTCGTTTAGGGTCCAATCTATAAGAGGTAGATTGAGGTCACCAAGGAAAATAAGAGGGTGTGGACAAGAGGCAGCCCCCGTCAGCAGTGAAGTTAGTTTGTTTGCATGAACTATGTCATAATCAGGGGCTCTGTGGCATAGTAAGAAGCGGATAGCGGTATTTAAGGACAGGTCACAAACGATGGTCTCTGGAAGAGCAAGCTCTTGTGTAATTTGAATCTTCCTTAGACTTAGTGGTTTTTTATAGAAGATAGCAATTCTACCTCCTCTATGGATTTCGTGATCTGACCAATAAACGTGATATCCTCTGACTGTGGTAATAGAGTCTGGAAAAGATGCATTCAACCATGTCTCACAGACAAATATAATATCAAATGTGGCTGTGCTTAGTAAGATGAGGAATTAATGCATTTTGTTTGCGAGGCTTCTTGCGTTGAATAAGGTTATTAAGACCAGTTGTGGTTGTTAAGTGAGGATTACCTCTATTTACAGATGAATTCACTTGATTTCCTTAAAAAACCTGTAATTTCAGTTTAAGTGAGGTAGCTTAATATTAACAATTCAGACTTTTTTCAGTATTGTAGTAATTGTTTGAATTGTTTTTGTTTTTGTTCCAGTTAAAAAAACAGAAATATATCCGCCTTGTCCTCTCCTCGCAAGCCAAGGTGTTGCCTGCCCAGATTCCTGGGTTGGATACAGGGGGAAATGTTTCTATGCATCAAAAGAAGAAAGGAATTGGACTGTCAGTTTAGAGACCTGTTCTTCATTTAATGCCTCCTTGGCTGTGATTGATAATCAGAATGAATTGGTAAGGAATAAGGAGACATTGTAAGTAATTGCAGACATTCACAAATATAAAAAGCAGTCCTATTACATTTACTATTATTATCTACAGCATATACGACTAAACTTCTGATTCTGTTCATCTGTTTGTACCCACAAGTTAACACAAATTATTGTACTGCAGCAAACTTTGGATCAATGTACTTAAAATCGGCTCATTTACAGAATGCATAAACAATCTGGAGCCCATTACTCCTGTGAACTGAAATTTCTATGATGACAGATCAGTTTTATTCACAAATATATGTGGCCCTTGTAGCATTCCTGCACTCATATGATTGTGATTTCCAGTGCTCCCTGCCAGCTTCCCACAAGCAAAATCAAAGGGGGAACAAGCAAGAAGTTGCTCCCATTACTATTGCTTTTTTTTTTTGCCAACCCATAATCATTTAGATAAATCTCTTTAACTAAATAAGTATTGACTTATTATTGAAGTTCATTTGCCACTACAATTATTTTTCTATTTATGATATATACTCAGCTTAGATCAGGATGTGTCAAACTCAAGGCCGTGGGCCAGATCTGGCCCGTGATGTGGTCGGATGTGGCCCACGGGGCCATCCTGGTCTACGAATGCGAAGAGGAAACATGCCAGCAGTTTAGGGAGTGCTGTCAAGCTGGCCACTCCCACCCAGTCAGCCACGCCCACCTAGCTGTGGCCCTCAAATTGAGTTTGACACCCCTGGGTTAGATGGTGAAGGGACCATCCAACAATTATGGAAATAAAAAATTGGTCAACCTAAAATTTAATGTTCATTTTGTCATATCAACTGCATTAATTTTCTCTCAAAGGATGACCCAACAAGTCACAGGGTTGTCTAGTTATTTTTATTATTATTATTTGTTCACAACAATGTGAAGTCACCAGTTCTTTTGCTGGTGTTGACCTTCATATGCATTGAGTTCTTCCCAAGAACCTAGGGTGTTGTAAAGTTATCAGTATAATATATGTGCAGATATGCAGATTTTCTAAGTGCCAAGCAAGATTTTTGGTTATGGCACAGTGGTGGGATTCAATTTTTTTTACTACCGGTTCTGTGGGCGTGGCTTGGTGGGCATGGCAGGGGAAGGGTACTGTAAAATCTCCAGTCAGAGGTGGTATTTGCCGGTTCTCTGAACTACTCAAAATTTCCGCTACCGGTTCTCCAGAATTGGTCAAAACCTAATGAATACCACCTCTGGTCAGTATGCCGATAACCACTGGGACCACCATAGCTGGTTTATGGCGTAATCTTTCAATTTCAATTTTCAGATCTTGATACTTTCTGATCTTCTCCAGTTCTTTGTCTTCTATTCTACTACCTCTTAGTATTGCCACATCAATTATTCACACTTTCTTCTTTTCAACCACAATTAGATCTAGTATGCTCTGAATCAAGACCATATCAATTTGCATTTGGAAATCCCACAATATTTTAATCTGCTCATTTTCAACTACTTTTTCAACTTGATGTTCCCACTGATTTTACATTACTGGCATATGATAATTATTACAGATGTTATTTCCCCCCCACAAATTGTATTAGAGTTTATTTATCTCTCTCTATATATAAATATATATATAAAAGCAAAATACCACTCATGCATCATCATGAAATTTCCAGAACCGTAAAGTCTACAAACTTGAATTTTGGCATATATGTTCCTCTTGGCTTCTAGGTGCTCACTAAGAAAGGATTTTTCAACATGACCATCAGAGCATTAGTATTCCCTATATTATTATTAACACACTCTGATGCTAAGGAGTTCTACTCCCCCTCCCCACCTGAAAAGAAATCTGTTCCAAATGCAAAACATAAGCAGAGGAGAGGAGCTTCCTTTTCAGTTTTGCTTTCACAGCAGCAAGCAGTTTTAGTACAGAACAGTTGAGATAAGCCATGCCCAGGTTCCTTGCTGTCTCCTTTTTGCTCACACAGCAAATACTGTTTCAGTTTCCAAACAGCCCTCAACTCTCTCACACACTGACAGGATGCTAGCCAGATGAATACCGATGGATGCTGGTAGGCAGAGGCAGAATTTTTTCCCCTTATTTTTCTCCCCAAAAACTAAGCCCAATCACATAGTTTCATAGCGAGCATGGGTATCCAGCTAGTTATAATATAAAATACAAATGAAAATAAAGATAAGAAAAAAGGGAAAAGGGAATGCACAATTAAAAAAGAAAAAGAAAAAAGCAGTGACTTCTTATTCCTTTCAATGCAGTAAAACACTAAATATAGTTATAGCCTCAACTTTTTCTTTACATTTTTAATAACTACAAGCCACTTCTATAACTACAAGATTAATCCAATCCTCAAAACGTAAAGCCAACATTTCTCCCCCCAGCACTTCTATTTCAAGCAGGAAGTCCAGAAACAATTTGTAAATAGGAAAAAACCTGGATAAAGACTTTTTAAAAAAAAGATATACATCAAGTCCAGTAGTTTTTCCATCCATTCTTCCATTGTGGGAAATAACATCTTTCCATTCATGCATAGTAAATTTTCAATACTGTCACTATATATATAATGATAATTTGCCTTCAAGCTCCTTGCTTAACAACCCTTAAAAAGTTATAATTTCAGTTTTATATCCTTTTTAAAAATCTTCTCATGAGATCCAGCTTCCTTGGCTCCCACCTTTGTGGTTGTTGTGGTTTTATGTTCATCGTGTTTATTCTGAAATTTAATAAAGTCAAATGTGGCTTACCCCCCGCCCCTGTTTTGTAATCTTTGACTCCCTCCTGTGATCAAAGAGCAGATCTTTTAAATAACACTTGCTGTGTGTTAGATGTATCTTAACCAGTCAGGTTCAATCAAAATGAGAAGCTTTCATTCTCCTACGCACAACAATCACCTCAGAGTCACAAGTATAAATTGCATTATCAAACAAAAATGGCTGGCTATATGGTCTACTGCTTCTTCCGCCTCTTTGCTCAACCTGCACTTTGAATCATTTGATGATTAATTCTGGCCTTGCTTGCGGCATTAGTTCAAATCGGTTGTTTTTAAGCAGACAAAATCAAGCCTTCAGTTTCTTCCTTTTCAAACGTTACAGTTGTAAGCCATTGCCAGGTTTTATCTTCATCCACTTTCCAATTAATCTTTATATATATTGACCATATAATGCTTTTCCTTACCAGTATGCTGTTCTTTTTTTTTTTTACATTATTTTGATATTCATGTCTTGTTTTCTGCATTTCCATAACTTCCAATTTTTAATTGTATCGATGCTTGTTCTTGGCCATCTTTTATGTAATCAGCTAAAGCATGCTTAATTAATTAGACACTCTGACTTGAAGTAAAACTCTGCCTTGATTTTTGTGAGGCAGGTATAAACTATCAATATCAGTACAAGGATGTAATAATACATAATGAATTATCGGTAGATTTCATGTTTTTTGGTCCAAACTGTCCAGTTCAGCTAATGTCCAGTTAATAATTCCAGCAGTGTATCACCTCACAGGTATGGCCCAGGTATAGGTGACTTTGATGATGTTTCCACCTTCAACTTTTTTTCATTCTTGGATGTATTTTTTACTAATCACATTTTAACTTGTCAATGCTTGGTGTTCTTAAGGTATAAAATATCTAGATACTTATAGGCTTCACCTTGATGGCTCCTGTTGGTTTTGCCATTTGGCTTTTCAATTCCATTACTATTTGTGAATTTACTCCAACTTATTGCCATTGTCACAAATTTCTCTAGGCCAAATTCCACTGCCCTGTGCTAAATATTGTTAATGACTGCATTTCAATTTCTGATTTTCTATCAGATCATCAATATAAAGCAAATGTGAGATTATATCAGCATTTTTTTTGCTGTTTGGTAGCCTAGATTTGTTTACTTTATTATCACTGAAAGTGGATCACAGTGATGACAAATATTAAGGGTGATAATGAGTCACCTCGAAGATGCTTCTCCTAAAGTTGACAAGCCCATATTTTTCATTTCCAACCCTTAATTCTAGCTTTCACTCCTTCATTATTTATTACTATTATTTGTCCCCCAACCTGGCTCTTCACATGTCCAGCAGTATATCCCTTGATTCCTGTGAATCCATTCCTCTTGCTACTGGTTGTCCTCTTTTCTTTCCTCCCACTATTCCTGGTATTATAGACTGCTCAAGAGAGCCAGGTCTTCACACATGATGCCCAAAACATAATTAAGCCTGGTCACTTGTACTTCAACGAAGAACTCTGGGTGGATTTGTTCTATGATATATTTCTTAACTATACATAGTATTCTCAAGAGTCTTTTCCAACTTCAATACCTGAAATCTTCAATATTTCTCTTTCCTATTTCTTCAAAGCCAAGCTTTCACAGAGTATTACAAGGTCTGCACATTACTGATTTTTGTATGTGTAACTAACTTTTCTGTATGTGGCATCTTGATATTTTTTTCCAGATCTTTCATAGTTGCCCTACCCATTGCTAGTCTTCAGTGCGTTTCTTGATCAGTATTTCCTTTGTTGAAAGTAGATCCTTAAAAGACAAAAGCGATTCACCACTTCAATATCTTCATTGTCAGTTCTACAGCTGGTTGTTCTGTTATCATTAGTTTGGTCTTCTTTGTACAGATTTTCATTTTAGTCCAATTATTTCACTTTACTCCAGAGATGGTATTCAGCAGGTTCTGACCAGTTCTGGAGAACCGGTAGTGGAAATTTTGAGTAGTTCAGAGAATCGGAAAATACCACCTCTGACTGGAGATTTTACAGTACCCTTCCCCTGCCATGCCCACTAAACCACGCCCACAGAACCAATAGTAAAAAAAATTGAATCCCACCACTGCTTTACTCCTTAACTTTTATTACTGACTTTTATTATTAAAGCATGCATATCCTTTACATTTTTGGCTATCATTGTAGTGTCATCCGCATAGCAAAAGTTATTGCTATATCTTCCTCCGATTGTTAAATCACTCTCATCTTCTTCAATTCATTTTCCCTTGTGACTAGGCATAAATGTATATAAGACATACAGGTAATCTTCAATTTATGAAGTTATGACCAAACCAGAAAAAGATAACAAGGATTCATATTTGAGGTACTACAGGGCACTTGGCAACACAATTTTGCAAAGTCCTGTGGTCACATGAAGGTATTCTATGACAATTTTGCAAAAACCTGGCACTTACTTCCAGTTTTTGGCAACTCCACACCTATAGCAATAGCATTTAGATTTATATACCACTTCACAGTGCTTTATAGCCCTCTCTAAGTAGTTTACAGAGTTAGCATATTACCCCCAACAACCTGGGTCCTCATTTTACCCACCTTAGAAGGATGGAAGGCTGACTCAACCTTGAGCCTGGTGAGATTCAAACTGCCAAATTGCAGGCAGCTGGCAGTCAGCAAAAGTAGCCTGCAGTACTGCATTCTAACCACTGCGCCACCGCAGACCATAGCTAATCCTTAGTTGACATAACAACGAGGTCATTAGCTTATCAATTCTATTGATTTGCTTAATGATTGCAGTGATTTGCTTAAAGACCACTGCAAAAAGGGTCATAAAATTGGGTCAGTCCCATGACCCACCCATTTTATTACCATTGTGATATACACTGGGAATGGGTAGGCTTGATTACAGTCATATGTTGAGGGCTACCTTAAAGACTCTCTCTTAAGTCTATAACTCTGGGAAAGGTCAAAGGAAAGAGAAAAAGAGGTAACTACCAGCAAGATGTATAATCAATTATAGTAGCAACTATAATTGAAACACCTGAAAGATCTCATGGAGAAAGTGAAATATATGCGATTGGTAAAAATCAACATTAACTTAGTGGCTCATAACCCAATAAATGTATCTGCATAAAAAGTCCCATGAACATTTTTGTTATCTTGATGTTGTTGATATTAATAAATATTTAAGGAGGGTGTTAATATATTCCTGCTAAATGCTGTGCAACGCACATTAAATTTAAATAGAAATATGTGTACAACATTGCAGTAAAAAGCTTAATTTAGTAGACCTCCTTTTAGTGGATTTTGGATGCAAAAAAACCCAATTTCTGTATACATATCTCCACAAAATAATGGGCAAGCCCACTGTCTGAAATATTTCTGACATACATTAACTTACTTAATACATTAGTTTTACTTTAATTTTACGATCTTGTACAAATAAAATAATTTGACAAAAATGATGTATTTTGGCATTCAATAGTCAGGCAAAAATAACGGAAACTTTCTTTCCTCAATGTTAAACGAGGATGTTATTATATATTATTTTCCTTCTAGGATTTTTGGGTAGCCTTTTTCCATCCGTTTCATTACTGGTTTGGTCTCTCAAGAGAGGTTAACCAGACCTGGAAATGGTCCAATGGCACAGAGTTTAAAAATCGGTAAGTGTGTTTTATTTGTTTGTTTATGGGACTTATAGAACTATTTACCTAGTGAAGCATTTATATACATCACATTTCATCTTGAGTGGCTGAAAGAATAATAAGAATCAAGATCATTTTGGCTAATCTTCTTTCCCCCAAAATATAAGACACAAAAAATGAAGGGGAAAAATTAGAAGAAAATTAATCAGGCAATAGTATGTAACATCTGGTGGTCCCTGCACTGCTGGCCAGCTGTGTAATGGACTGAGAAGTTCAGGATGGCTGAGATGATACACCACCTCCAAGAATAGATGGTTTTCCTGCCAATTTCGATATTTTTGTAAGCAGGGAGAAGCAGCCCAGTTGGTCATAAAAATTGCAGTTTTATTTCCCAAAAGGCACTTGCTATAAGGCAATATTTCTCAAACTTGGCAACTTTAAGAACTCTTCAAGAATACTCCAGCAAGCCATGCTGGTTAGGGGATTCTGAGAGTTGAAGTCCACCCATCTCCTTTCAAGAATGAGATACGCCTCTAAATGGATGCCTTCTGCTTTGTGTGTGTGCATGTGTGCATTTATTTTTACTTCAGTCATGAGCCATTTGTCAGACAAAACTAACTCCAGACTCCATAATCAATTTGATCCAGTGCAGCCTGGAGGCACAATGTTGGCTGATGTTTTCTATGCTCTAAATCTGGGTATCTTCTTGGAAAGATCATTCCTGCAATGCTACTTTCTGCCCTCGGTTGCCGCTGTCCAGCGAATAGTAACTCCTTGTCCTTTTTGCAGGTTTCCAGTGCGAGGGGAAGGCTTCTGTGCATATCTAAATGGAAAAGGGGCTGATAGCACCTTGTGTTCCATGGAGAAACTTTTTCTCTGCAGCCGGCCAGAAAGTTGTAAGACAACTGGATAACACAACTTAATCCAAAGGAGGAACTTTTGCAGTATGATTCACATTTTAATACAGAAAATTCTGTGCCCTTATTGGCCTTATCAGCCATTTGCGGAGACACCATGGATAGTCCACTACCTGCTAGATGTCAAGGTCCTCTTGGGGCAGTGCTCATCTCCGTTACAAAGCCGAAGAGCCAGTACTGTCCAAAGACGTCTCCGTGGTCATGTGGCCGGGATGACTAAATGCCGAAGGCACACAGAGCGCTGTTACCTTCCCACCAAAGTGGTCCCTATCTTTCTACTTGCATTTTTACATGCTTTTGAACTGCTAGGTTGGCAGAAGCTGGGACAAGGAATGGGAGCTCACTTCGTTACAGGGTGCTAGGGATTCGAACCGCTGAACTGCTGTCCTTTCTGATCGCCAAGCTCAGCGTCTTAGACACTGAGCCACCGCATCCCCTGGAACTTGGTTTAAAACATAGTATATTTTTTGGTCCATTGCTAGAATGCCCAGACCTGAAGTCTGCTTGCTCAACAGCCAATATATGCTCTGAATAAATCTAGTCAATTAGCGTATTATATATGTGCCCGGTATAGGACTTGCTTATTATGCTTAACAAGCTAATAGGCCTATAATTTACAGATAGATCTCAAGTATCCTTTTTATAAATGGGCACAATAATAGCTACATGTATTATATAGTTGTAAAATATATAGAAATAGAACATATAGACATTATTGATATGTAATGTAGTTGTATAAAAATGTGTGACAGTACTGTTTATTATTGATTGAGACATGTTTTTTAAAAAAGAAAAATCAATAAAAAATAATTAAATGATAATAAAAGCTAAGTCCAGTGCAGTGTGATCAACATAGGACAAGGAAACAAGAACCAGGGATCCATCAGTCCACATTCTTTAGTAATACTTTGGGTCTATTAAAGTCATTGCCTGGAGCTTTGTCAGGCTTTACAGTAGTTGCTTTACAATTTATTTTATTTCAGCACTTGTGATGGGCCCAGGTGGGAAGCAGGTTGGTGTTGAGCTTGTTGTTTTAGCCTACAGTGCCCTATAGCAGCATCCTGAGGGGAGAAGTTGAAACAGTTTATGGTTATTCGGGAGCAGTTACTGCTCTCCTGAGCCTATCAGGGACTCCATTTTTAAGAAGGCTCCACAAAACCACAAACAAACATTGAGAAGGATTCTAGGTATCATCTCTGTTGTAATGTGTAAAGGGAGACAAAGTGAAAAGATGGGTTAAAGTGTGTGCTAACAATTTATTTCACAAATTTTGACATGAAGAGCTGCAGAACTGGCAGTAGCTTGCGTGAGGCATTAAGGGTGTGTGTGTGTGTGTGTGTGTGTGTGTGAATGAGAGAGGGGGGGAGGGAGGGAGAGACAGGAAGGGAGAGGGAGGGAGGGAGGGAGGGAGGGAGAGAGAGGGAGAGTGGGGGAGAATGAGAATGAGTAGGATAGCTAGCCTCTTCTGGTTCAATTAGAGAACGTGGATCATTTCATGGTGTTATCAATACCAAAGTCTGCAGACATGATTAGCAGTCCCTTTCCAACTGCTTTGGAAAAAATCAGGGAGTGGAAATAGTGTGATGGAGAACTAACAAAAGAAGGACAGAAAGGAGGAGGGGAAAGAGATGAAGATAAGCTTTGATGACCAAATATGGAAATCACTGTTGAGAAATGTATACAAATATCCCTTGAGCAAAATGGAAAAGTTAGCAAAAGGGAAAAGTTAGTGAAAGATACCCTCTCTCAAGTTCTCCAGCATGTGGTAAATTTCACCTGTGATGAATAGAGAAAATGGTAGTTAAAACTGTTAGAAATAAGTAAATTCAAAAATAAAATGGTATATAAGATGCTTAAAGGTTTCACAAAGGGGGTTGGACTAGATGACCTTTATGGTGTGATAAAGTCAATGTAGATTTTAAAAATAATGTTGTTAGATGTGCCATATTGATAATATGGATCAATACATATTGTGTCCCAAAATGCCTTTGTGTCTGTTATTACAAGACGCATATTTTACAGTGTGTCGGTTGGATACATATATCTTGTGCACATACCAATATTATTATACATTTCTTATTTAGTTATATTAATAGTTTATTCTAATCAACATTTTATATCATATTATTACTTATTATACTATCATTAAAGTTTTAATTTCAGTTCTAGGCTATTTTTCAAAAACAATTCTCATTACTTACTAGGTTGTATTCATATTATTATTTATTCAGAAATATTCAATTATGATGCATTATTACTATTATAACATATTTCAATTTCTTACTCTTCTAGAGTAGGACTCTTCTAGTCATTCATAAAATAAATCCCAAATTTTACTATACTCCTTTTCTTCCTGTTCTCTCATTGCCATTCTTAATCTACTCATTTCTGCACATTCCATTATTTTCCTAATCATTTTCTCCTCTGTCAGAATTTTCTAATTTTTCCAGTTTTGTGCAAATACAATTCTAGCTGCCAGGGGTGGGATTCTACAGGTTCGCACCTACTCGCTAGAACTGGTTGTTAACATTCTAAGCAGTTTGGAGAATCGGTTGTTAGAAGAAATTACTGGCCTAATCCTGTAAGGAAGGCAGGAAGGAAACATTCTGGTGTTGCTTACAGAAACTGCCTCTCCGTTATCCCTTATTACATTCTTGGCAGGACTAGACTTCCTGTCTCAGGAACTTCTCTGGAGTTTTTTCCCCTCCTTTGCTGGTACTTTGCTTCTGTGGAGTGACCATTTAAAGTTACAATGGCACTGAAAAAAGTGACTTATGACCATTTTTCACACTTATGACTGTTGCAGCATCCGCACAGTCATGGGAGGTCATGTGAGGAGATGCGTGCCTCGATGTGAGTGATGTTGAGTTGGCCACACCCAGCCAATAACATGACCACCAAGCCACGCCCACCACCTATGCCACGCCCACAGAACCGGTTGTTAAAAATTTTGAATCCCATCTAGCTGCTATTAATACATTAATAATCAAATATGTTATCTCTTTATTATAACCTTCAGGCAAAATCCCCAATAAAAATATCTCTGGTTTTAAGTCTATATGTTGTTTGATTATTTTTTCCAACCATGTGTGTATTTTAGTCCAATAGGTGCCACCTGTAAAACATCTTATACAAATTCTCTGTATAAGCCACTGACATTGTTAGTTTGTAGTTTCTAGTCCACAGTTTCTGCCATTTATCCAAGTCTATCCCATATCCAAAAATTTGCCCCCAAGCAATCATTGTTTCTTTAACTTGCTCTTCTTCTAATTTCACTCCTAATAAATAACCATATAGTTTTTTAATCATCCTCTCTTCAGTGCCTGTTAAGATTTTGTCTAGTTCAGTCAATTCTTTATGAAACCCATCTATCTTACATTTTCATATGTAAATGTAAAATAGATTTGCAAATATGAGTACCAATTCATATTCATCCCTTGTTCATCTAATTCTTGCTTTGTTTTGAGTTCACTCTTTTCATTTAAAATTTCATTATATCTAATAATATGCTTCATTTTAAAAACATTTGGGTATGCAAATGCCTCTATTGTTGATAACCACACTGGTATTTTCATATAATGCTGCTGCCTTTTTTTCTCCCATATTGTTAATAAAGCATCCCTGATATAATATCTCCAGAAATATCCATGTGCCTTACTTATACCATAAAAATGCATGCCACCCCAATTGCAAATCATGACTTCCCATGTTAATAGTCTAACATTTCTCAATACAATCCATTCTTTTAAAATTGAAAGATGGTTTTATTTGTTGTTTTTGTTGTAAAAATAAAAATAATTTTTTTAAAAAAACCCAAGAAGCATATTATAGAAGAGAAATTATAACTAAATATAAAGGATTAAGTTGTGGTGACACAGAATTTTCCTAAGGAAATTTTAAAATCAAAAGAAAATTTGACATCAGGAGGATATACATATTGATGGTTTTCTTTGTTTAGCTTTTCTTATCTATTTTTAAAACAATTTATTTCCATCATAATCTCTGTTGTTCCTGTTTTTAAAAAAATCTTATCTATCCTTTGCTTTCTTACATCATGTTTGCGCAGCTGTCATTTATTTTTATATACACATGCAATATCTGTCTCTCACTTTAATTTCTTGCATCGTTCTCTTATATGTATTTTTCTGATCCATATCCTTTTTCCCTTTATTATTCCATTGAGAATTGCTTTTCATACTTCCTAAAAAGAAGTGATGTGAGAAATATAAGCTCTTAAAATTAGGTTGTATATACATTTGATATATAAAAACCCTTGATTTTGAGCTCCATTTCTTCTCTCAGTTTTACAAAGACTTCCAGATAAATTATATAACTGTCATGGTAATTAATTTGTATATGTCTGCCTCACTTAAAATACATTGAGTCTATTCATTCATAATTTTTACATGTACAATATTCCAGGTTCAGAGCATTGCAAATCTAGTTAAAATATCTGAGATACAGGTAGTCCTCAACTTACGACCATAATTGAGCTCAAAATTTCTGTTGCTGAGTGAAACATTTAAGTGAGTTTTGCTCCATTTTACGACCTTTCTTGACACAGTTGTTAAGTGAATCGCCGCAGTTGTTAAAAATTGAAAGCAGCACTTAAAACAGTGTTCTTGGTGGAACCTCAGATGCAATGACTCCTGACATATTTTATTTTTCTATCATCTAATTTTCTCTGTTCCTCTCTCTCTCTCTAGCTTTAGTAAATCACACACATTTCTCCATGAGAGCTTTCTCCTTTCCTCGTACATGCAATTTCTTTATATGAAAGTACTCTCCTTTTAATCTGGGATGGGGGTCAACACACAGACATTTACACCAATGTTTTTTTTTTCTTCATCAACATACACATTTATACTGTAATCAGACTTCTTGCATAACCAATTTCTCACACAAACATTTCATTTCATTCTTTCTCCAAGCAAATCAATCATTACTTACAATTCTTTTCTGAGAGCTTTTTCTCACAAGCCAATGAACTCCATTTCTTTCTTTTTTTTTTTTTTTACTGTTGTTAGAGGGTCTCATCCTCCAGGTTTGGAAATGATTACACACAGACACATTCACTCACACAACATTTCAGACCTGGGGTGGTTTTGTCCCTTTAAAT